AGACCAGTGACTTTGCGAATCCAGGCACTGCGAAACCACCAAGAGCGTCGCAGCACGGGGAAGCACGTGCAAGGTGAAAGGGGCCATACCCGATGTTTGGCGAACCGCGAACCTTGCAACGCACGAGACAAAAACGCGCTATCGTGGAAAGCCGACGGTGAAGACAGTGTGACGCAGTTTCTGTCAGCGTCGCCCAGAGGGGGATGTCGCGAGGGGGGCGGCCTTCTGAGAAGGCAGTGGCCCAGAGGCCTCAGAGACGACTTGTTGCAAGCTGGGAGGGCTTCCCTATCCCCTTCGGCCAGAGTGCGCCCCAGGGTGGGGCCTCGGGCACAGCCACCCCTCGAGGGGGGCCGAAGGCCGCCTGCCCAGAGCCGATGGATGTGGCATGGAGCAGCACGAAGCTGACGCCCCGCGCCCACTGCGGGCAGCGGGCGAGCCTCTCTGAGCGGGCCCTGGAGCTTCAGGATGACAGCCGCCGCCTGCCCAAGGCCGATGGACATGGCACGGAGCAGCACGGAGGTGATGCCCGCGCCCACTGCGGGCAGCGGGCGAACCTCTCTGAGCGGGGCCCTGGAGCTTCAGGGGGACAGCCGCGCCCTCCAGCGCGATCAGCAGCCGGCAGGGCACGGTCAGCGGTGCGACCATCAGTGCGAGGCTCCCCAGCACGGCCTCTCACAGGCTCAAGCGCCACTGCACGAACGAGGCGCCCTCGGCGCCCAGGGAGAGGACGCAGTAGATAACTCCTCCAGCAGAGCTTCGAAACGCACTTCGTTGATGGACGTTACGCTCTCCACCATGACCAGCACACGCCAGGACACGGCCTGCGGCGTTACCCAGCACGGCCTCGCATCGGCTGAAACGCCACTGCACGAGAGAGGCGCCCTCGAGGCCCAAGGATACGACGCGGCAGGCCGCCTTCTCCAGCGGATGTCCGAGGACCACCACGACGGTGCCCATCGCGCTTTCCACCATGACCAGCACGAGGAGGGCTAAGTGGTGGAGCTCCCCAGGACGGCCCGGCGCAGGCTGAATCGCGACGGCGCAGAAGTGACGCCCGCGAGGCCGAGGGAGCGGACGCGGGAGAGGAGAACATGATTCATTCCAATCTGCACGTTTCGAGGCCCGCCACGACCTGCGGCGTGAGGCTCCGCATCGCAGTCTCCGTGCACGCCGTCGCCGCTGTCGCCGTCGACCATCGGCACCTCCACGGGGCCGTCTCGTGCCTTTCGCAAGGGTCCTACCAGCCCGGCGCGGGTGGTGGCGGGCATCGCTATCCACGTCGGAGCGGCCCGCCTTCTATCACCACCCACCAAACCACCCCAACCCAACCCGAAGGCCCTAATTTGCCCTCCATTTCCAGTGGGGGGGGTCGGGGAACATTGAAACAACACACGGAACCCGTACCCCCCCCAACCCGAAATTCGGGTCAAATTCGGGTCTTCGGGTTGGGTTGGGGTGGTCTGGTAGGTAGTCATTCTAGCAGCCAGTGGCCCAGGGCTCCTCCTCCAGGGATGCTGAGGACGAGTGGCCGCAGACCCGCGTCCCAGCAGAAGTCCTCCTTGGGGGTCCGCGTCGCCACCGCGCACGAGGCCGCGCGGCGCACGGCGGCTCTGCGCCTCGGCCGCGCGGCGGCGGCGGCGGCTGGCCGAGGCCGCGCCTTCAGGGCGACAGCAGCACTACAGTCGGGGCGCCGAGAAAGGAACCCTTTTCGTTGGGGAGGGGCTCCGTGTTCCTTAGTTGTTTCGCAGTTTGCCTTGGGGTTTCCTTGGGCTTCCCACGGGAAATCGAGGTTCGATGCGTGGAGAAAAGGGGCATCGTTCCTCATTTAGGGATCCTCAGGTCGACGCCCCGTCTGTATGCGCACTCCGCCGGAGAAGACAGGGAATGCTGGGGGCACGCGCAGGTGGGACTCTCGCGCGGGGGGCCAGCCCCCCCGGCCCAATCGAACGTGAGCCCAGTTGGCTACCCGCGACGACGACGACAATGCGGATGCTGGTGCTGCTGCTGGTGCTGCTGCTGCTGATGATGATGATGATGATTGCCATGATGCTTGTGCTGACGATGCTGATGATGGGAATGAGCATCATATCGACGCCGATATACTGAGAGGCATGCTGAGAAAGCTGTTGATGCTGCTGATGATGATGCTGCTGCTGATGATGATGCTGCTGCTGCTGCCGGCGACGACGACGGCGACGTGGACGACAACCATGCTGCTGCTGCTGCTGATGATGATGCTGATGATGATGATGATGATGATGCTGATGATGATGATGATGATGATGATGCTTGTGGCGGTGGTGATGGTGATGCTGTTGTTGTTGGCGCTGATGTTGATGACGACAACGATGATGCTGATGATGATGCTTCTGATTGTGATGGTGCTGTTGAGGATGCTGATGATGACGATGATGCTGTTGCTGTTGTTGATGATGGTGATGAGTAAGAGAAAGAGGATGATTCTTTAGAGGAGCTGGTCCGACGACGACGCATGCCGAGGAGGACGGAGGTGGAGGAGGACGGAGGACGAAGGACGAAGGATGTGGAGGAGGAGGAAGACAGAGACGAAGGACGGAGGAGGAGGAGGAGGAAGAGGAGGAGGAGGAGGAAGAGGAGGCGGAGAAGGAGCTTGACAATTGACAATAGCACGCAACAATCCGAGGATTCAAGGTGGCGCAACGTCAAAAAAGGAAGAGGACGAAGGACGAAGGACGAAGGAGGACGAGGATGAGGAGGAGGAAGAAGGACGAAGGAGGAGGATCAGGAGGAGGATCAGGAGGGGGATGGGGAGGAAGAGGAGGAAGAGGAGGAAGAAGGATGAAGACGAAGGAGGAGGAGGAAGAAGAAGGACGAAGGAGGACGAGCACAGAACACGGACGAGGGCGCGGCTACGGAGCACGAGGGCCACGCCGCGCCCGCAGCGCGCCGAGCGGCCCGCCCGGCCGGTGGCCCTTTGCGCGCGCGCGCGCCGCGCCCTCGCGAGCGCGCCCGCGCGCCGCTGCGATGTGGAGGCCCTCGCCGGAGTGCGGCCCTCCTCCCTTAGGGCGAGCGGCAGGCGGGGGGGGGGACCGAGAGGGGAGGATGAAGCAAAGGGCCCTCGAGAGGGCCCTGGATGGCCCCTGTGGGGAGCCAGCCGGGGCCCGCAAGGGGCCCCAGAGGGCTCCTTGAGGGCCCTTCTCGTCACCCCCCTTTGCGGTCACCCCCCCATTAACCACCCGCCCGATTCCCTCGGGAGCCGTAGGACGGGGGTCAATGCAAACGCGGGTCAGCCAGAGCGCCGGATCTTGCATGATTCTGCAGAGCCAGGGTTGCACTGGCCTGGGTCAGCGCTCATGATCCTGCAGGATCCTGCAGGATCTTAAAGGATCCTACAAATCCCGACTGACCTGGGTTTGCATTGACTCGGCCCTCCACCAGCCTGTGTACGACCCGATGCCTGCCCAGCTGCTTAATTTGAGGAGGGGGGTCTTTCGGATGGATGGCGACATAGGGGTGTGAAGGACACTGCTCTCATTGCCCTGCTCCCTCCCTCCTCCACCAGTCCGAGACGACGATGAGGGCGAATAGCCCAGGGGCGGGCATTACACGTATTCGCCCAGGAGCCTCGCCGAAGGCATGGACCATAGGCGCCCCTGGATGAATGTATTATTCTCCTCTGGGCTATTCGCCCCCATCGTCGCCCCCGATCCTCCACCAGCTTGCTAGACTGCCTGACTGATACTGACTGGAGCGCGGCCCTCCTCCCTCGGAGGAGGAAAAGGTACCCATACCGCGACCCTTCCCTCGTATTTGCCTTTAGGGCCTCTTGGGAGGCCCTTGTGGCCGCTTCTGGATTCGCCTCGAAATTCTGGTCAGAACGCACCCCGGTAGAGGTCTAGGGAGTAGCGGCTTCGATGCAATTTGGTTTTCCTTACTCCCTCCTCCACCAGCTCGCTAGACTGGTTGACTGGTACTGTGCCTTCTACTTGCTGCTGTGCTGTATTGTCAACCTTGGCCTCCCAGCTGATTTTGTTAGCTCACTAATACTGTGCGAGTTGCGTGCCGGCCTGTGCCCACAGGACCCCATTTTCATCAGCGTCGAAGTACCAACATACATCCTTCTGCTACTAGGCTACACGTACGAGCGACCTTTCGCAGGACTGGACTCCGGTGCGGGCACACTGGGGTCCCCAGATGACCGAGCGCGATGCGATAGCAGCGCCGTGCGCACTCGGGTTTGGCCTCCCCGCGGCCCCTGAAAGATGCGCACCAGAGTTCACTCTTGCCTGGTTTTCTGTCCACCCCCGACATGCGATGTCTTCATTTTTCCAGAACGGGGCCCCTGTGGAAGTCGCGGCCCTTTCCCTGCAGGACCGGTTTTGCACCCCGAGGCGCTTTTCGACGGTCCCGGGGCCCAGCGACAGCGCCCGGAGGCCGAAGCAAAGTAAAAAGCCTCCCGACCAGATTTTGTTCACGACTCGTTGGGGTCTGGGTCCTGTGACTTCTTTGATCACGAGGGCGTCAGGGTAATTAGTACAATCGAAACGATGGTAAGGATGGGCAACGCCAAGGGTATCCTTGCATCCTTGCCTCTTCGGTCAGTCCTTGACCACTTTCGACGGCCAGCTCCTCTCGAACAGCTTCGACATGGGCGTCCAAGGGGCTTGCATCCCCAGACATGCGACTTCCTGTTTCTTTCAATCTGCGGCCTCCGAAGTCCCGACCCGTTCCCCTGGACCGCTTCTTCATCCTGGGTCGCTGATTGACGGGGCCCCAGATCCCGGCGAGGGCCCCCAGAGGCCGAAGCCGACCAACAAAACCTACACCGCCCCGATATTTTTCAGCCACGGCCCGAGCCTCTGTCCGGGCCCTCGCACCGCGCCTCCCGACCATCCCCTCTGACCGTGCAGCCCCCCCCCCCCCCCCCCCCGGCAGGCTCGCGAGCGCCCGGCCCTGGGCGCCGGCCCCCGCGGCGGGCAGGGCCGCGCGGGCCGGGGGCCGCCGCGCGCTCCTCGCCGCGGCGGCCCCGCGCTGGGCCGGTGCAGCCCGGGCGAGCCCGGGGCGGGGCGGCTCGCGCTGCGGCCCGGTCCGAGTGTCCCCAGACCCCCTCGAGTTATGAAAGAATCACGGCGGGAGGTTTTTCATTATTTTTGGCTTTTGGGGGCCCTTACCGGCCCTCGGGACCGTCAAAAAACGACTCAGGACCAAAAACCCGGTCCCGGGGAATGGGTCGAGACCTCGGGGGGTCGACGTCATGAACAAATCATGACGTCGGGGGTCTTGGTCCAGGCCTCGTAGATGGGGTCGGATTAGATGGGGTCGGAGGATCGCGCCGCATCGCCGATGCATCGGCGATGCGGCTCGATGCGGAGCCCGTGTTTCCTCACGCGGGCGTCGCCGATGCACTGACGGTGCATCGCCGATACGTCGCCGATGCATCGCCGATGCATCGGCGATGCGGCGCGATCCTCCAGCCCCATCTACTCCGAACCCATCTAGGTGGCCTCTAGAGTGGGAGGACAAGCCCAGACCTGCTCGAGTCCTGAACAGTTCCTTGGAATCGCTCGGACGTGTGTATTTTTCTCGGCGAGGACCATCGAGGAGCGTCTTGGGGCACCTTGCGAAAAAACTGCGCTCACGGAATCGAAAAATGCACGCGGACTGGACGTCCGAGCGATGGCAAGGGTCAGGACGGAGTTTTTCCAAAGCTTTCGGTCTCTTTGGGCCCTCGCCGGGCCCCAGGACCGTCAAAAACGACTCAGGATGAAAAACTGGTCCCTGGGAAAGGGTCGGGACTTCGGGGGCCCCGTACGGAAGACAGCAGGACATGACATGTCTGGGTCCGGTTCTCCTGTGAGGACAACCTTTGGAGCGGGCTGGAGGTCTGAGGGTCCTGCAGCATTGGTTCCGGCGATCAGGTTCGGGGTTTGGGGCTCGAGAAGGTTTTCAGTTTTTTTCAGCCACCCAGGGACGTAAAGGCCACAGGACCGTCGAAAGCGGACCCCGGGTGAACACTGCACCAAATGGACCGTGGGACGGGTCCGAGGACAGGGGACACATGTTGAGCGGTTTTGCCCTTATCCCTCCTTCTTGACAGATTTTCTCGGGGCTCATCCAGTTCAGACCCCCTGGCCGCCTCCAACCTGCAGTCAGGCAAGATCATAATCGATGGATGTGCAGCCTTCTGGGGGCGCCCTTTCATACATGCGTCTGGGGCCTATCCGGCCTATCCTCAGCTCGCTGCGTGATATCCGATGCCTAACCAAGCCTCCGGGTCGGTTTTGGAGGTCGCCCAGGCGATCGCGGCGGCCGCAAGTCGTGGCACGGTTTTTGTCAGGGAGTGGCATGCCCCTTCCCAGCCCCCCCGCTCTGGGATGTAGACGTGGCACATCAGTAGCAATATGGGGACAGAGAGTTGTCAGTTTATGTCCAACATGGGATTTATGTCCAACATGGGAAGGCATTTTTTTGGGGGGTTACGTGTCGACTACCACGCAACCGTCAGGCACTCGCGCCGGCCAATTTCGGTCGAAGGGCCTCAAGCAGTGCGCTGAGCCTCCAGGGTTCTTGCCTCATGACCGCGCATCCCTGTGATCCTGGCGCGCTGTATTCGGGGTTCGTAGAGCGGGGGTTGTCCCAGGGTGGGGTTATTCGGCGACGAGCCCAGGGGGGAAGTGAGAAGGGGCGGACCTCCTCAGAAGGCTCCGAAGTCTCCCAGCCTTTGTGAGAAGTTTTGTAAGTTTTCCCCGAAGACGCAACAAACAACATCTCAGATGGCCAGAGGCCTTCTGAGAGGCCCGCGTCTTCTCAGAAGGCCTTCTCCTTCTCATTTCCCCCCCTCGCTCGCCGCCGGGTCGTGAAACGAACCCCGCTGGGTGCTCACACTTCTCCCTTCCAGGGTCATGACGTTCCAACCTACTTTACCCTTGATCACCAGACGGAATGGCGAGCACCAGGCCAGTACCGAAGCTCGAGGGTCCGCGCGCGTCGGGCCCTGGGGGTCACTCGTCCGGCACTCTTTCGACACTGCTTCGGCACTCTTTCGATACTCTTCCGGGTGCTCGAAGTTATTTCTGGGATGTGGTCCTTGAGTACGTTGGAGGCAACATAATTCCAGGGGCCGTTTCGAGCGGGTGACATCTGTCCCCACCTGTGCCCCCTACCCCAGCTTGACGGCCCCCGAACTGCAGATAGATCTAACTCGCTTTTCGCCCTCTCCTCTCCCAGAGAGGTGGAAGGCAATCGGGTGAGGAGGAGGGGGAAAGGGAGGAGGAGGAGGAGGAGGAGGAGGAGGAGGAGGTGGAGGAAGGAGGAGGAGGAGGAGGAGGAGGAGGAGGAGGTAGGAGGAGAGGGAGGTAGGAGGAGAGGAGGAGGAGGAGGAGGAGGAGGAGGGGAGGAGGAGGAGGAGGAGGAGGAGAGGAGAGAGGTAGGAGGAGAGGGAGGAGGAGAGGGAGGAGGGAGGAGGAGGAGGAGGGAGGAGGAGGGAGGAGGAGCAGGAGAGGAGGAAGAGGAGGAGGAGGAGGAGGAGGAGGAGGAGGAGGAGTAGGAGGAGGAAGAGGAGGAGGAGGAGGAGGAGGAGGAGGAGGAGGGAGGAGGAGGAGAGGAGGGAGGGAGGAGGAGGAGGAGAGGAGGAGGAGGAGGAGAGGAGGAGGAGGAGGAGGAGGAGGAGGAGGAGGAGGAGGAGGAGGAGGAGGAGGAGGAGGAGGAGGAGGAGGAAGGGTTGAGGATGGAGATGGACTTGGTGTCATTGTGCGCCTTAGCCTCGATCCTTAGACTTCGATTCCGATCTCGATCTGATCCTCGAAGGTGAACGCACGGCACGAATACGCATGAGCTGTCGGAGATTCGCGCTGATCTCTCGTGTCGGCGCTGGACACCCATGGCGGCGTCTCTGGCGCCGCCCCTGGCGCGCTCCACGCGTCGGGGGAGGGGGGTCCAGCGCCAATCCGCGCAGACCTCCCAGAGTCTACGCTCGTGCAGCTTCTCTTCGCCTAGATCCGATCCGGCGCGTTCCGAGTGCCCCTCTCCGAGCTGCGGGGGCCGGGCCCACTCAAGCGATCCCCGAGGAGCCGACTCGTCTCCGATCTCGCGCCGATCCGAGCGCGGTCCCATCCGCTGCCGTTCCGACCTGCCTTCGCGATCCGAGCCAGCGTGGGCCTGCCCAGGCGGGGCTCAGCGAACGGCGTCTCAGCGGAGGCGCCCAGCGTTTTGAAACAACGAATGCCCTCAGAGCTGGGCGTCGCCCACAACCATCGCGAGGTTCCATGGCCCCGTTGACCGTCAGAGAGCGGTGCGAGAAGACAACCTGGTCTTTGAGAGGATGTCGGATCTCTGGGCGCCCACGTCTTCGAACCTCTGATCTAGGCCTCCCAGATGGGGTCCAAGTAGATGGGGTCGGAGTATCGCGCCGCATCGACGATGGATCGCAGATGCGGCTAGATGTGGGGCCCGATTTGCTTCACGTCGACGCCGCCGATGCATCGCCGACGTCAACGATGCGTCGCTGGTGCATCCCTGACACGTCGCCGATGCATCGCCGATGCGGCGCGATCCTCCGACCCCATCTGCTCCGAGCCCATCTGGGAGGCCTCGAATGTCGGATCTCTGGGCGCCCACGTCCTCCCTCCTCCTCCTCCTCCTCCTCCTCCTCCTCCTCCTCGAACCTCTGACCTCGATCCTCGCACCCTGCGGTCCTCGACCGCTTCCACCGGGGCCCAGCACGGGTTTTCTGGACTCGCAGGTGCTTTCGGGCTGCTGCGCCGCGGAGGGCCGAAAGAAGCCCCACGAAGCGCCGCTTGGAGGCTCGGGTTATGGCCCGAAAGCCAGACCTCAAACGTATTGAAGGGATCCTTGTGACGCTTTCGCCAGGTTCGGCCTGGGGGTCCTCGCTGGGCTTTGGCTCGGGGGCAACGACAGGGAGGGATAGGCACAGGGGGGGAGGGGGGCGCATCGACCCCCAATCGCCCATTGATCGCCGATATGGGCCAAATAGCCCCAACCTGCCCAGGAAGGCTCAGATTCACGATCGGGGACCCATCGCCGATCTATCGACGATGTATCGCCGATTCCAGGTCGATGCATCCACCCCTATGCCTATCCCCCCCCCTATCGTTGCCCCTCGAAAGCGACTTTGGATGACAAGCCCGCTCTAGGGAAAGGGTTCGGACTTCTGGGAAGGCCGTTTGGAACATATCAAGACATCGGATCTCCAGATCTTTGGCCGATGCGTTTCCAACCGCGGATTGATTTCCACTGTTGAGCGCTTATTGAGCGCTCATCCAGCGCTAGTTGCCCCATTTGGCTTTGGCTTATGGGCTCTTACTTGTTGAAGAATCTGTTGCCGGACCCGGCCGCGCTGGTGTTCCCAGGGGTTCCCTGGTCTTGATTCCTTCCGGGGGTCCCCAGTCTTGTTTCCCTATATGGGCCTTGGGTTCCCTGGTCTTGCTTCTCGGCTTCTCCAGTCTTGTTCCTTGCTTGGGTTCCTCGAGTTCCCTGGTCTTGCCCCTTGCTTGCGTTCCTCGGGTTCCCTGGTCTTGTTCCTCGTGTTTCCTTGGTGCCCCGGTTGTGTTCTCGCTTGGGTTCTGGGTTCGTCGGGTTCTCTGGTCTTGTTCCTTTGGGCTCCCCAGCATTGCAAAGCAACGCCAAGCAATGCCAAGCAATGCCAAGCACCACCAAGCAATGCAAAGCGAGGCCAGTCCATGTAAATAATGCTGCGCAATGTCGAGCAATGGCAATCAACGCCAAACAATGTCGAGCAATGCCAAACAACGCCAAGAAACGAAAAGCAATGCAAGGCAATGCCAATCAATGCCAAGCAACGCCCAGCAATGTGCCCATGAAATATAAAGTTCTCCCCTAATTGGGGTCGCTCCGCGTTCAGTGTCAACAGAGCGCTGATTCTCTTCTACTTCCTCCTCACGCCTCCCCCTCACCTCAGTATGTTCTTTATGTCTTTCTTCCCTACTTACTTTTGTCTCTCTCTCTCTCTCTCTCTCTTTCTCGCTTGCGCTCTCTTCCACACACATAAGGAGGCATATATCAATATATGCA